ATGTAGATTAAGTCCCCAAAGTTTCAGCCCCGTAGCTTTTGCCGGTCTCGAGATGAAAAATCGGTAAAGACGCCCAGCGCAGACACAGGCACACACAAACACACACACACACACATAGACAACCTCTCGTCAATATGCGTTTTTCGCATTGCATTGCTGCAAAAAACGCATAAAAACCACAGGCAAGGCAAACAGATCACTACAGCTTTTGTCAAAATGCTGGCAAAGAATTTCACGACAGCCAATATGCATTCGGTCAAACTGCGAGTAGAAAATGGAGTGAATTTAGCAGCAAAATGTTATAACAGGGACTGTGGTGAGAGCGGAAAAGTGAAATTCGCTAACAAGATATATTGCACACTTTGCTGACAAATACAGGGAAGTGAATACCAAGCTCAGCAAGCAGCGTTTGCAAGAAAAACTAATGACCTCCAAAAAGACAATACAATTTATGCGTAGAAGAAACTGGAAACAAGCAACACAGACTGCACCAGCTTCACACATTTGCGTTCGAAATGACAGTTCCGGTATCCCTGACTTTAGGAGGAACCGAATTTGCACAAATCGTCGAAGAGAGAGGGAGTTAAATGAAAAGCATAAATGCTTACCGATAATATACCCGACAACAGTGTTGAGGTAACCCGTTCCGGAGCCAATGTTGAGGAACTTCTGTCCTTCAGCAAGCTTCAAGCATTCAAGAACATTAGCATATATACAGGGAGCGGACAGGTGAATGCGCCCAGGTGATCCCGTGTCGCTTTTCCACGCCAAATCCCGATATGCCATATCACGGCCATTCTCGGGGAAGAAACGTCGCCGATCTACCAGCCTGAAAAGTTGGGACCACCGTGAAACAAAGCAACAATTTTTCATTTTTCTCAGGAACTGGAAAAAAAAACAATCATTGTATACTGAGATCGCTATTGGCTGCCTATCTAATCAGCAGCTTTGCTCCTGAACGGAGGAAAGTTACTGATCAGACAAGCAGCCGAAAGCGATCTCAGTATACAGTGACCGTTCTGGGGAACAAACAAAGGGGTTTCAAAAGCAACCGC